TAGGTGGCTTTGAGTTATTCTGTGAGTACCTGGTATGGATGTGGATTGTCAGAATCTAATAGGTGGCTTATTGTCTTACTCAGAGAGTACCTGGTATGGATGTGGATTGTCACAATCTAATAGGTGGCTTTGTGTTACTGTGAGAGTACCTGGTATGGATGTGGATTGTCACAATCTAATAGGTGGCTTTGTGTTACTGTGAGAGTACCTGGTATGGATGTGGATTGTCATAATCTAATATGTGGCTTTGTGTTACTGTGCGAGTACCTGGTATGGATGTGGATTGTCACAATCTAATAGGTGGCTTTGTGTTACTGTGAGAGTACCTGGTATGGATGTGGATTGTCACAATCTAATAGGTGGCTTTGAGTTATTGTGTGAGTACCTGGTATGGATGTGGATTGTCAGAATCTAACAGGTGGCTTTGTGTTACTCTGTGAGTACCTGGTATGGATGTGGATTGTCACAATCTAATAGGTGGCTTTGTGTTATTCTGAGAGTACCTGGTATGGATGTGGATTGTCAGAATCTAACAGTTGGCTTTGTGTTACTCTGTGAGTACCTGGTATGGATGTGGATTGTCACAATCTAACAGGTGGATTTGTGTTATTCTGTGAGTACCTGGTATGGATGTGGATTGTCACAATCTAATAGGTGGCTTTGTGTTATTCTGAGAGTACCTGGTATGGATGTGGATTGTCAGAATCTAACAGGTGGCTTTGTGTTACTCTGTGAGTACCTGGTATGGATGTGGATTGTCACAATCTAACAGGTGGCGATATCTTATTGTGAGAGTTTCTTGTATGGATGTGGATTGTCACAGTCTAATAGGTGGCTTTGTGTTACTCTGAGAGTACCTGGTATGGATGTGAATTGTCACAATCTAACCGGTGGCTTTGTGTTATTCTGTGAGTACCTGGTATGGATGTGGATTGTCACAATCTAACAGGTGGTTTTGTGTTATTCTGTGAGTACCTGGTATGGATGTGGATTGTCACAATCTAACAGTTGGCTTATTGTGTTACTCAGAGAGTACCTTGTATGGATGTGGATTGTTGCAATCTAACAGGTGGGTTTGTGTTATTCTGTGAGTACCTGGTATGTATGTGGATTGTCACAATCTAACAGGTGGCTTATTGTGTTACTCAGAGAGTACCTGGTATGGATGTGGATTGTCACAATCTAACAGGTGGCTTTGTGTTATTCTGTGAGTACCTTGTATGGATGTGAATTGTCGCAATCTAACAGATGGCTTTGTGTTATTCTGTGAGTACCTGGTATGGATGTAGATTGTCACAATCTAACAGGTGGCTTTATGTTATTCTGTGCATGGAAGGTACTAACGGAAAGAGCCACGACACTATTGTTTCAGCTTTGCCCCATGATCGTTTGTCAATGTTTGTTCACAAATATTGGTTCTGTTAGCTCTTAACACCTTTGTACAATGGGTTATGCTAGTCTCAAGCATTCGGTAAAATTCGAAGCATGTTCGGAAGCGATAGACGAACCTTGCATGTAAAATGCTGAAAATGGCGTCTAGTTTGAATGTTGTTGTTTCTGGAGATCTTGGCGAAATTTATTGAAAATTAGCAGATATAACATCGATTGGAGAAGAACTGATGAACTATCATGAATCTTTTTGTATTTGTAACGGTGATGAGACTTAATCAATGATTGGCTGTGATAATAACGACTGCATTATTCAATGGAACTATTGTCATTGCGTGGGTTTGACGCCCGAAACTATTGAAATTTTCGACAACCGGGCATCAGCGTACACCACCAGAAAAGAAGGGTATGCCTAGACACTTTCGCTGCCATAATATTTTTAGACACTTGAAATCTTGTTTTAGTTATTAGCAACTGTAACAATAACATGTGAAATCTGTGAAGTCAAACGTTCTTCTCTTGAATTCCCGGTTGTGAAATACGTATTTTGACCCTTCACACCTAAAACCAACCAAGTGCGCATGTGTGATGACTGTAGTTTCATAATGCGCATATATTTTATGGTCACATTGAGAGGCGTCGTGGCTCCTTCCGTTAGTACCTTCCATGTTCTGTGAGTACCTTCCATGTTCTGTGAGTACCTGGTATGGATGTGGATTGTCATACTAATAGGTGGCTATATGTTATTTTGAGAGTGTGTACAATTGAAAACTGCTCATCAGATTTTAATGAAATGTACACAACTGCAATCCTGATTTACTTTCTGCAAATATCTATACATATCATAATATTTAGCTTATTTTAAATTTTGCCTGGTATATTTGAAGGACCGCTCATAAGGTAAAGGTATTCTTTTGGAAAATCTACTGGCCTAAAAAATTTGTGTAAATTTTAGATATGCTTATTTAAAGGGGAATTGATACTATAAATAAGGGTCAAGATGGCCACCGTATCAGTATGCTAATCCGAACCAAGCCGCTCACATTGTGGCAGGAGCTCCGTGAAATGTGCCATTTATGAGCTGTGATTCCAAATACATATATACGAGGGCATGAATATGTGCGCAAGCGATTACACTCTGTTTGGGCTTTTGATGTATAAATGTATATATAAATAAATGTAAATCACAGTTGGAGTAAACGAAAAATTTAAATCTTCTAGATATTTATTCAATCTACAAAGCTTGTTGATTTACAAACAGCATTATCGTTACGTAGTTTGTCTATGTCTAACCATCGGTAACACTGGGACATGAAGAAGTGAGACAGTCAACAATGTCAATAACATTAGGTTACGGGCTCTTGGATATCCATTGCAATAACTGTAGAAGTAGAAATTATTCGCGTGGTTTTAATTTCGCAGTGAGTACAAAAGCGCAAAATTAAAAACAGGCGAAAATGTCT